GGTCTTTGGGAAGGACCGGGGTGTCTAGGAGGGGATTTTAATGTAGTGAGATTCATAGAGGAAACCAACAACCCTAGACAGAGAGTGACAATAAGTATGAGGAGCTTCAATCAGTTTGTGGATACGTTTGAGCTCAAAGAACTTCAAATGCTTAACAATACCTTCACCTGGTCCAACCTTCAATCAAGCCCAATTTGCTCTAAGCTGGACAGGTTTCTCTTTTCAACGGATTGGGAGGAACATTGGAGTAACTTAGCATCTAGGGTGCTTTCGAGGCTTACCTCAGACCACTGGCCTATAGTAATGTGTAACGAGAAATTGGGAGGCGATGGTCCTGCCCCGTTTAGGTTTGAAAACATGTGGTTGATCCACCCGGGATTCATTGAGAAAGTCAAGGAATGGTGGCAGCATTATAATCCGCTAGTAAAGTGGGAAGGAATGAGGTTCCATAAAAAGCTTCAGTTCTTAAAATCCCAAATAAAGGAGTGGAACAGGTTGGAGTTTGGGAGAGTAGAGRAAAGGAAACAGGTGTTGGTAGAGCAGATAGAAGAGTTGGATATGAAGGAAGGAAGGGGTTTTGTTGGAGAAGAAGACTGAGAAAGGAGATGGAGCTTAAGGAAGCAATTGGAGGATCTTTTGATTAAGGAGGAAATAAGTTGGAGGCAGAAATCTAGGCGCAAGTGGTTGAAGGAGGGGGATAGAAACACCGGGTTCTTTCACTCGGTGGAAAATGGTAGAAGGAAGAATTTCATTTCAAAATTGGAAGTTGAAGGAACAGTCATTTCCACCTAGTAGAAGACCTTTAAATGAAAGGATCTGGTTGGAGGGTTTGGATTGGCCGACTCTAAGTCCAGAAAACAGAGAGTGGTTAGAAAGGAGATTTGAATTGGAGGAGATAAAGGAAGCAATATTTTCAATGGATTGAACAAAAGCTCCAGGTCTGGACGGATTCACAATGGCTTTTTATCAAGATTGTTGGGGTATTGTGGAGAAAGATATTGGGTCAATGTTTGAGGAGTTCCACAGAAGGGGAATAATCAACCCGGGCTTGAACTCCACTTTCATTGCTCTGGTTCCTAAGAAGAAAGAGGCATCACAACCAAGGGACTTCAAACCTATTAGTTTGGTGAACAGTTTGTACAAGATAATCGCAAAAGTGTTGTCTCTAAGATTAAAGAAGGTTCTTCCTTCCATAATTGCACCTAACCAAGGTGCTTTTGTGATGGGAAGACAAATTACTGATCAAATCTTGATTGCTAATGAGAGTCTAGAGAGCTTTAGGAAATCCAAGAAGCGAGTGATGTGTAAACTGAACTTGGAGAAGGCTTATGACATGGTTGATTGGTCTTTTTTGTTGGAGGTGTTGAAAAGTTTTGGCTTTGGAGACAGTTGGTGTAAGTGGATTTGGGGTTGTATTAGAAGCTGCCACTACTCTATCTTGGTGAATGGAACTGTAGTGGATTTCTTCCCCGCCTTGAAAGGAATAAGACAAGGCGATCCACTATCCCCTTTCCTCTTCACTCTGATTGTTGTTGTACTTGGGAGATTGATTCAGAAAGCGGATTCAAGGAATTTAATAAAAGGATGGAGAGTAGGAAGGGAGGAGATACCTCTTACTCATCTACAGTTCGCAGATGACACAATCCTTTTTCACGAAGGTGGGGACATTGAGTGGATCTGGAACCTAAAATTGGCAATACAACTCTTTGAGCGGGTATCTAATCTCAAGGTGAATTTGGATAAGAGTAGTTTGGCGGGTGTGAATTTGGAGGAGAGGGAGCTTAGAGAGTATGCAGATGTGTTAGGGTGTGCAACCTCAGATTGGTCGATGGCTTACCTAGGCCTCCCCGTGGGTGATAACCCTAAGAAGGTAAGCTTTTGGAACCCGGTAGTGGAGAGATTTGGGAAAAGGCTTGCTTCTTGGAGGAAAAATTATCTTTCCTTGGGGGGGAGAATCACTTTGATTAGATCAACCCTAGCTAATCTTCCTGTGTATTTCCTATCAGTGTTTAAGCTCCCCACAAAGGTCTTTTAACACTTTGAAAAAGCTTATGAGGGATTTCTTGTGGAAGCCTGGAGAGGAGAAGCGGGACCATAGGGTGAGTTGGGAGGTGGTAACTAGAGGTAAAAAGCTAGGAGGTCTAGGGATTGGGAATGTTAGGAAGAGGAACAGGGCTTTGTTGGGGAAATGGTTATGGAGATTTCCGTTGGAAAGAGACAAGTTGTGGACAAAGATTGTGGCTAGCATACATGGGTTGGAAAACAATGGTTGGGAACCTGGAATCTTGGCAATGACTACAGTCACCTCTCCTTGGTCAGCCATACATAATCTGCTTCCAGTTTTTTCCCCTTGTATCAAGTATGGTCTTAACTCCGATAATAAAGTAAAATTTTGGGAATAACTTTGGGTCGGGGACTCACCTCCGATGGGCCAATTTCCCTCTTTGTATGCTCTTTCTGATTTGAAAAATGAACCCATTTCTTCCCTCTTAAGCCCCTCAGACTCTCCTTCAGGGTTTGGGTGGAACCTAGGTCTAAGAAGGGCAATTAGGGATACAGACTTGGACCACCTTTTGTCTTTGTTAGCTATCCTTGAAAATGTTTTCTTGGATCCCAATAAAGAGGACACCAGATTTTGTGTTCCCTCCTCTTCGAGTGTTTTCTCTTGTGCCTCATTTTTTGAGACTTTAACTCAACCTTCTGATCCCATTGGGTTGTCTTTCCCGGTTAAAGAAATTTGGAGTAGACCCATTCCTCCTCGAGTTGGTAGTTTTTGCTGGGAAACTTTTCTGGAAAGAATTAACACAAATGACCTACTTCAGAAGAAGAGACCCAACTCTTGTCTACTTCCTAATAGATGTACTCTCTGTAAAGCTGATGGGGAAACTGGTTACCACCTTATGGTTACTTGTTCGGTTGCTAAATCAGYTTGGGAGTGGGTCTTTTCCCTTTTTGGGTGTGTTTGGATACCCCCTGGGAGTGTCCAAAGCTTGTTTTCTCCCTCCTTTTTCAGATGGCCGAAGAAGAGAGGGAAGACTATGTGGAGAAGCATCAGGGCTGCAGTGTGTTGGACTCTATGGGAAGAAAGAAACTCACGAATATTTTCAGATAAGGAAAGAACCATCGGAAACTTATTAGATCTAATTGTGTTAAGGGTGGCACATTGGTTGAAAACTATGGAACTATTCTCAGATTATTTTGTGGCTGATTTGGTGAGAAATTTGAAGGAGATAACTTCCTCTACCCTCTGTAAGAGGAGCTGTAGTCTTTTGTGCTCCCCTCCTCTTTCTGGGTTCATAAAACTGAATTTTGATGGCAGTTGTTTAAGGAACCCAGGGCCTTCTGGGATTGGGGGAGTATTTAGGAATGAGGTGGGGGCTATTATTGCAATGTTTTCAGGCCCAATTGAGGAAGGAGACTCTCTTAGGGCTGAGATCCTCACAGCCCTGGAAGGCATCAAAAGAGCAAGGGAGCTGAACATCAGATGTTTGGTCCTTGAAAATGACTCGGAGGTGGTGATTAGGTGGCTAAAAGGGGGAGACGGCAGCTTATGGAATTATAACAATGAGAAGAATAAATTTAAATGGCTGAGTAGGGATATGGTGGTTAATTACAACTGGGTGAAGAGGACTGCTAATTCCTTTGCTGATGGGTTAGCAAAGCAAGGGGTGAATAGGGATTCGATTTTTTGGGCTAATTTTTTTTTCCTTGTATTTTTTGATGGGGAGTAAAGTCTTTTTACCTCTCCTTTGTACTTAAGCTTCACATAGTTTCATATCTTTAATAAAGTTTCTTGTTATTGATCAAAAAAAGAAAAGACTAGTAGCGATCATAATTTTTTTAAAAAAAAAGGCCTGTACAAAATATAGGTGTTAAGCTAATAGCTAAAACATGGTTATCAAGATGATTTCTAAGTAATAAATCAATTTCTTGGGACCACCTTGCCCCTCACCTTGGTGTTTGCATATAGGAGGTGTAATGCTTTTATGTATTGTGCAGATAAACCATACCATAGTATGGATAAAGGAAAGAGGTGTAAAAGATAATCAAGAAAGAACAAGTTTCAACTTAGAGAACCATATAATGGGTTTTTCCTGTTATTTGGTTTCTTTTAAATCCTTTATGATCAATCCTCTCTATCTTTATAACTGTTACCAGAATAAGAGTCTGCCTCTACATTTTTTTCCCTTTTACAATTAACACTCTTTCATATTCTCTATGTCTTTGTTGCATTCAAAATAATGCCCTCATCCCTTTGACTTAACACAAATTTTCCTTCATATGTTTGTTTTTTCCTATTCTTTGACGCACACACGCACGCACACATATACATTGTCCTGGTATCTCCCTCTCACATTAACAAAATAAAGATCCATCCCTTAGTTTTTTCATAGGCTATGAAATATTGTTTTAGTGTTTGGTTTTTTCATGTCAATTCACTTTCAATGTCTTCCACTTGTTACACCACCTAGAGTAAAAAAAATAATTCATAAAATAATAGAGAAAACTAAAATCAACCGAATTTTTTATATAATAAAATTCATCGCCTAGGCAACAAGGTGCTCCTTTGTTTCCCAGCCTCGACTTAGTACCTTAAAAACTATGACCTCAAACATAAGCTCCAGGATAAACTTTTGAAACTATGTATTTTGTAGTTGTTTGTTGCATCCCCCCGCCCCGGTATAATAAAATAAAAATAAAAGTTTATTGATAAAGAAAAACACTGGTAAATACACAGGTCTAGCTAACACAAAAACATAAGCCCTATAAAAGAAAAAACAAATTACTAAGACAAATCTTCCAGATTTTCTTCCCGCTCCCCCAGAATAAAAATTTTCTGCGCAACCTTGACATTGGTGGAGACTGACCATTAAGAGCATTTCATCTGATAAAACCAAAACTTCTAATAAGGGTGAAATCCTCTCTCGTTTTAAATAAATTCTTGAGTAAGCAATCAAAAAGATTAACATGTGAACATAGGAAAAAAATTAAAACCATACCTGATTGCGTAAAAAGTGCAATGTTGACAAGACAATGCAGCCTAACACCAAACGAACTGGACAAAAGCAGTAGAATCTAAAACATGAGTTTGAAGAAATTCATAAAACCAAATATATATGCATATAAACACAGAATAAAATATGGTCAACAAAATGAAGCATATAAAGGTGACAACTGGATGAGTTGGTAAGGTCCTTGGATGGTTCTGGAAGAGAGACAGATACTTCGGATTGAATCCCACCTTCAATAGGGTCAGAGAGTTATGGGTATGGGGTGTAGAGAGAGATAATGAGTGCTGAATTGTAATTTTTCATTCTTACTGTACCATTCTTTTTCTATTCCTTTTACTTTGTACATTACTTTCTTTTTTTTTTTTTATCAGCATCAAAATCAAATTTTATTACTTAGAGAAAGAGGAAAGTACAAATCAAAGGCAGCCTCGGCTACCTCCAAGAAAATACAAAGACGATTTAATATTCAGTCTTACAACTGAGCCCAAAAACACAGTGCCCTATTTACCCCTTGCTTTGCTAGTTGGTCAGCTAGACCATTTGCCAACCTAGGAGTCCAGTGAATTATCAGCTGCATGTCCCTTGAGAACCTCCTGAATTATTTGATTTTGTTTCTAAAAAACCAAGGAATCTTCTCATTCTGTTTCAGCCAACTTATTACTGTTTTGGAGTTACCTTCAACTATTAGCTTTCTCACCCCCATCTCCATAGTTTTCTGCATTCAGTTCTGCTGTTACAGAATCACACAATCCAATGGGGCCTGAGTACATGCCCACAATCACTCCACTTTCATTTCTTAAAGCCCCTCCAATTCCAGACAGACCCGGATTCCCAAAGCTGCTTCCGTCAAAGTTTAATTTCAGGGATCCTAACTCTGGGGGTCCCAAACCTTTAGTGCCTTCCTCTTGGCTGAAGTTGAGGCTACAATTGTTCTCCAGTTTTTTTTCTGATAAATGAGTGATATTTTATTCAAAAAAGAACAATATGATAATACAATACAGACTGCCCAAGGAGAGGCATGAGCCGGTACCTCTCCTAAACAACAACATTGTATTACATCAGACTAGGAAACAGAAATTTACAGAGCTGCCCAGAATAAATGTTCCCTTGATGCCCCTTGCTTAGCTAACCCATCCGCTATGGTATTAGCTATTCTACCCACCCACTGAGAATTAGCAGTCATGTTCCTTGAAAACCAATTAACTTTCCTCAGAAGGTCCCTGTAGCACCAAACAACTGAATCTGGATTTTTTAACCAACCCACAACAAATTTGGAATCTCCTTCAATCAGCAGATTCTGAACTCCTAACTGGTCTGCAATCTGAATACCTTGTACCGCCACTAGAAGCTAGCTCTAATAGAATCTCCTATACCCACGGAGCCTGAGAATAAGGCTAAAATATTGCTGTCTTTATCTCTCAGCACCCCTCCTATCCCTGAGGGACCTGGGTTGCCTTGGCTGCTACCATCAAAATTCAACTTTGTCCAACCTTCAGAAGGAAGCACCCACATAGCTGGTACCCTGTCCTTCCTGGTACTACTACTAGCCACAACTATCCAATTCCTCCAAATGTCATCAAAAGAGAATGTGTGAAAGGAGTCCAAAGATCTCAGCCAGTGGATTGCCCTAGTCAAAATACAAACCTTTACAGTTTGAATATTTCTCTCCTCTTGGAAAAGCCTCGCATTTCTTTCTTCCAAATTGTCCACAAAGCAGCAGCTCTAATGCGCCTCCACATTGTTTTACCAGTTTTTGTGGGCCACAAAGAAGGAAGGGTCAAAGAGCTGATCTACGGCTGTAGTCAAATTCCACCTGTACCCAAACAAGGAAAAGATCCAACCCCAAATAGCAGTAGGAAAAAAAAAAAAGGTTAAAAGTAAGTGGGAGCAATCACCACCATTATCCCTGCAAAGTACACACCAATTAGGAGATAAACACATGGAAGGCCTTCTCTTCTGCAAGTAGTCTACAGTGTTGATTTTCCTATAGAACACCTCCCAACAGAAAATAATAATTTTAGGAGGTAAAGGTCTAGACCAGATCTCCTTAGTTGGAAAACCCAACTATCTTGTGGAAGAGCAAAGGGACTTAAAGAAAGAGGCACACGTGAAGTAACCTTTTGGATGGGGGGACCATAGTCTCACATCAAATCTGAGGGGGTCCAGAAAAACACTTTTAAGTAGTGACAAAAGGTCTGAAACACAAGAGAGTTCATGATCCCTCAAGCCCCTACGAAACCCAAAGTCCCAATTCAGAGAGGATGGAGAAACAGGTGGAGGAAAGTGAGAGATTGCTTTATCCTTGTAGAGAGAAGGGAAAATGTCCTTAAGAGCAGAATTGCCCACCCAGATGTCTTCCCAAAACAAAACAGAAGTACCAGAGCTGACATCATACCTGATAAAATTGAGGAATTGAGGGAGGATGCTCAGAATTGCTTTCCAAGGAGTTGCCAACATGGCTCGACGCGATACCCCAGCATCCCATTCATTTCCCAAACTGCCATGTATACTATCTATCATCTCATGCCACAGCCTCTCCCGTTCTATGGGCCACCTCCACAGCCATTTTCCTAAGAGAGCTTTATTCTTTAAAACTAAATTCCCTAGACCCAACCCACCCTCCTCTTTCCTCCTACAAACTATTCCCCAATTTATTAGATGATCCCTTTTTTTCCTCCCTTGGCTCCCAAAGAAAATTTATCATTAATCTTTCCAACTTCTTGGCCTCCCTAACAGGAATCCTGAAAACAGAGAAGTAATAAATCGGCAGATTTGCTAGGGAAGCTCTCAGTAATGTTACTCTACCCCCTAAAGAAATATAGTTCCTCTTCCACGAAGCTAATCTTTTCTCAAACTTTTCCAAAATCGGGGCCCAAAAGGTGCTCTCCTTAGGGTTGGCTCCTAGAGGTAACCTAAATACTGTAAGGGTCAGGAGAAAATGGGACAACCTAGACACTCAACCACAGACTCAATAGCCCTCTCATCCATATTCACACCCACCACGCAACTCTTATCCATGTTTATTCTTAGATTGGAGACTCTCTCAAAGTGCTTCATTAGAGATTTGAGGTTCCTTACTGTTCTCCTATCACCCCCTTCACAAAAGATTATTAGGTCATCACCAAACTGTAGGTGAGTCACCTTAATACCGTTCCTTCCTATCTTCCAACCTCTCACTTCTCCTTCCATGTCCACCATAATTTGTTCTCTAGCTCCTTATTATGTCATCAACAAAAAAACCTGAAAACAACTCCAATGTCTAAACCCAGAAAGCCACTTTTGCCATAATCCCTTCAATTAATGCTTCCTTGTTCCTTTTCTTTTCCTCGAAGATATGTTTATTTATTTCCTCCCATAAAGTCCAGATTATTGCTTCCCTTGTACACCTCCACATTAGTCTTCCCCTCCTTTTTGGCCAACTGAAAGCAAAAACATCAAACAACCTGTCTAATCTGTGTAGAGTATTCCACATGCACCTAAAGAGAAAAAAAACAATCCCATATACCACAAGCAAACAAACAGGAAAGGAAAATGTGATGAGCAGATTCACCTTTAGATTCGCACAAGCAACACCATTTTGGAGAAAGGCACCATTCAGGTCTCTTTCTCTGTACTCTGAAGTATATCACAAGTGTTGGTTGCACCATGGAAGACCTCCCAACAGATTTGTCAACTAGACACACACCTTAATTCCCTTGCCCACACCTCAATCTCCTCCTACCCCATATTAACCCTAGCCACTACACTTTTATTGAGATTAACCTTCAAATTCATCAACTTCTCAAACAAGCTCAATAACATCCTCAGATTCCTAGCCTCTTCCTCACCCTCCCCCTCACAAAATATAATGATGTCTTCTACAAACTGAAGATGGGATACCACCAACCTATCTCTCCCCACTCTTCACCCGCTTAAGAGACCCATTTCATCCACTTTTGTAATCAATCTTCTAAACACCTCCACAACAGTAGTGAATAGAAAAGGTGATAGTGGATCCCCTTGTCTCACACCTCTCACATCACAAAAAAAATCTTTGACTACCCCATTTGCCAAGACTGAAAAGTAGCAAGATTTTAGGCATCCTCTGATCCACTTGCACCATCTTGCACCAAAGCCACATTTGCTCAAAGCTTCAATCAAGAAACCCCGGTCCATAAGATCGTAAGTTTTTTCTAGATCCAATTTGCAAACAATATCTTTCTTTCCAGCCTTCTTGAACTCCTCTACACATTCATTTGTAATGAGCAATTGATCTGAATCTGTCTCTCTTGAATAAAGGCTCCTTGATACTATGAGAAAATTGATGGAGAACCTTTTTTAGGCGGATGAAGAGAACCTTGGCTATGATTTTGTATTGACTTGTCACTAGGCTAATGGGTCTAAAGTCCTTGGGGTGACAGGCTCCCGATTTCTTAGGAATCAAAGCAATAAAAGCAAGGTTCAAAACATCAATACGCCCGATATGCCGATAGAGACGTATTGGGTTGTATCGGTAGTTTTTTTTTAGTTTTTTTTTTCAAATACTGTTTAGAGGGGTCGGTTTAAGGTCTTCCCACCCCCTAAACCAGTCAAAACACCGATACACCCTCTGTAGGGGCGTATAAGGAAGCTCCCGATACGTATCAATACTTTGAACCTTGGATAAAAGTAGCATTAACCCCCTGTTGATAATCCCTCTGTGATAAAATTCCTCAAAGACTTTCATTAAATCCTCCTTTAGCCACACCCAACAATCTTGGTAAAAGGCCATGGTGAAGCCATCAAGTCCCAGTGCCTTGGACCTATCCATGGAGAAGATAGCTTCCTTCACTTCCTCCATCTCAAACCTTTTTTCTAGTTCTCTAGTCAATGTGCTTTCCAAAACTGGCCATGTCATACCCTCTAAGATCCATGTCCTCACCACTAGCCTTCTATAGATTAATTTGAAGTGGTCCACTAATGCCTTTGTAGTGTCATCTTGTTGTGTGATGGTGGCTCCACCTTCCAATTCTAGCATGGAAATAAATTTTTTTTCTTCTCCTTCCATTTGCAACCACATGAAAAAAATCTAGTGTTCCCATCACCTTCGTTTATCCACCTTTCTCTTGACTTTTGTTTCCATGACAGCTCCTCTCTCATTAGTGGCTTCCAACTCTTTTTTCAAGTTTACCCTCTCCTCCTCTCCCATGCCCATTTGTCCTGCCTCTTCTTTTCTATAATTCTATTAATCTCTTCAATCCAACTAATCAAGCTGGATTTTCTTTCTTTAATCCTCCCAAACTTATTGGAATTCCACTCCTTTATTTTTTTTTTTTCTTTCAAATTATTAAGCTTTCTATGAAACCTAACCCCTTCCCATCTAGCTTCAGAGGTGTCCTCCTCCCACCAGTTTCTAATCTTTTGCACAAAGCCCAGAGCTATAAGCCACATATTTTCAAACCAAAAGGGCTTTGGCCCACCCCCATTACCTACTTGATCAAGACAAATTGGCCAGTGGTCCGATGTGAGTCTAGGTAATATCCTACCTAACAAATTCCCCCAATGCTCCTCCTAGTATTGTGACACTAGGAATCTGTCTAATTTAGATAGAATAGGACTTTCCTAACAATTGGTCCATGTAAATTTATTCTGCCTTGTCATAATTTCTTTCAGTTCCAAGGCTTCCATAAAGCTGTTAAACCTCCTCATGCTAGTGGTCACCCTTTGTTGTGCATTATTTGATTCATCTGTGTGTCTAATCACATTGAAATCACCTCCCACGCACCATAGTCCTTGCCACAAACCTCTAACAGCTGCCAATTCTTCCCACATTTCATTCCTTTCCCTGTAAGAATTCATCCCATAAACATTTGTTATCACCCAAGTAAAATTATCAGTCACATTCCTCAGCTTTACCGACATCGAAAATCTGCCTATCAGCTTCCTCTAAGAACTCCATCGACTTCTCACTCCAAAACGTGATTATCCCCCCAAAAGCTCCCCATGATGGAGCCTAAGCCTGAGCCCAACCAATACCCCTTCCTCCCCAAACACTCCTCACCCATCTCTTGTCAATTTCCTGCACTTTTGACTCTTGTAGCAATACCACCTCCCGCTTTTCTCTTTTAATCACTTCCTTAATTATCTTTCTTTTGTTTGCACTACCCAATCCCCTAATATTCCAACTCAAAACCTTCATCTTCACTCCAGATTATTAGTCGCCCTCTGTCTTATCCTTCCTATCTTATACCTTTCCTCCTATTACACTTCTCTCCCATCTTCATACCCTTCCCTCTGTTATCTTTGAGTTTTTCCACCTCACTCCTATTTAGCCTTTTCAACCCCATATGCTAGAGCTAGAAACTCTGCCCTTGCCACAACACCCTGCTCCACAGGACCGGAGTACAGAGCAATAATGTTTCCATCTTCATCTCCAATGGCCCCTCCAATGCATAAGGGGCCTGGATTACCCACACAACTCCCATCAAAGTTCAGCTTCTTTCAGCCATCTGTTGGAGGAGACCATGCCTCAAAAAACTGTTGTCTTGTAGATGAAGAAGCAGCAATAAGTCCCCAAACCCTAAAAAAGTTTTCGACCTTAAAAACTGAAAACAACTTCAAGCTTTTTGCCCAATGTGCCACCCTCAAATGTTATTGTTTCGACCAATGCTTCCTTACATTTTTTTCTTTTCCTTCAAATATTCTTGCATTTCTTTCCTCCCAAATAGTGCAAAGTAGTGCTGCTCTAGTACACCTCTATAGGATCCTACCCCTCCTTTTCGTGCCACTAATACCAGTAGCGCTGAACAAACCCTCTAATCTGTCAGGAGAAGACAACCTGCACCCAAAAAGGGAAGTAAACCAATTCTAGATAAAACTGACAAAAGGACAAGATATGAGAAGGTGAAAAGCATTCTCACCATTCAACTTACATCAGTCTCACCAAAAAGGGAAGTAAACCCTCCAGAGCCCGGCATTCCTTTCTAATGCCCATACTGATGGTAGTGCCCCTACATCAGTTTGAGGGGGAGTGTAGAGACAGAGATACTAAGGGCTGAATTATAATTTTTCTTTCTTGTTGTACCATTCTTTCTTCTATTCTTTTTACTTAGTACATTATTTATTGTATTATAAGGACAGAAGTGTCCTTTTACATTCATTAATATAAATAGCTTCTTCTTGGTGTGGTCAACACATTAAACACACCCCACATCTGTTGTGTTCTCTCTAGTACAAACTGCACTGACGTGGGGAACAGGCTACCACCATTGTGTAGCCCCATGAAGCCAAAATGAAGCATGTTAGTTACTCCCTACTCCCTAGCATAGCATAAATTGATAACTGGGAAATGAATAGTGGAGTACAGAGAAGGCCATTACCAAATATCAATCCCGGCTAATATGGGGTCTTGGGATGGGTAAATTGGATACAGACCTAAACTTGGCATTTTTTTCTGCACAAAGCAGCCACACCCAGACTTGAACCCACAAAAACTTTAGGTAACACATAATTTTAAATCATACTATGTTTCAACAAACAGAAAAGTAGTGGGTATACACCATAAAAAAGGGCAGCCCAGTGCATGAGGCTCCCACCAATGTGGGAACCGAGAATACACCATAATCTACCTAAAGGCTACATAACTATGCATCATCCAAATTCCAAACATTATCCACAGAAAGTAAAGCTGGGATAGGAGGAACCCATTATGCACAGAAAGTGTTATTAGACTTGTTTTAAGGAATTAGACTCCTCACCACCCTTTCCATATCATGTAAGATTTGTTTTATTTTAATAAAATTTTCTTTGCACTTACTATCAAAAAAATAATACCAGCAGCAAGCAAAAGTTTAGTGATGTTTTCATGGGCATCTATTGTTCATAAGAGACTGGAAGAAACATGCAAAGGGTCTACGCGACAAACCTGTGATAAGACCATAAAGCTTCGGCAAGTGTAACAAATTAACTACCGATGTGACTGGAGATGACAAAATTGATACAAGAAAGGCACCTACAGATTAGACATTAGTCACTAATGAGTGATTTCCACATTGTTGAACAATGCAGTCATAATTAGTAGAGATTACAAATAGCTCCTATAGAAGCAATCCAACTCAGTTTTTCTCATAATGGCACAATGAAAGATAGCTGCTGATTAAACTATAATTGGAAAGAATGGATAGCCAAAATGAATTAAAATACTGATCAAAAAAGCATCAATAGACTAAAAATTCTTTGTTAATTCATCAATTAGAGCTTTACTGATTTACTCTTTATCAAGGTGCCCCACAACTCAGAACAAATTTTGGGATTGAGAGAGAAGGTATGCAATATAAATTTCATGAGACCAAAAGGAAAAAATGTAGTAATTGGGAAGAAGCATTGTATAATGGAAACAAATTAGTAAACTTTGCATAAATTCTGCCCCAATTTGAAGAAGAAATGCCATATAGGATCCACTAGAATTCTCCATTGACTAAGCAACTAACAAATTTTAGTATACAAATGTTCATAGGAGATAATATATAATATAATTTTTTTGATCGGTAGATAATATATAATATATGATTAACAAGTTAGAAGCTTCTTAAAAAAAAGTTACACTTCTCATGTAGAACGCGTCATACTCATGTTCAACCAACATAATTGACACCTTAATCTGTGATAATACATCATCTCAAAAATCAGTCACAATAAACTGAAGCATTTCATATCAATATTTCACAGGACTTTCGAATTGCACGGGATACCACTTAAAGATCCATCCAACCATATATGGATCATATTGATTGATCATGAACCATATTGTGGTTGGAAAACGGTACATCACTTGGATGGCACAGACCAATAGTTTTTTTTTAATGAGTAGGCCCACCAATAGTTGAATCTGTGCATACCACTTGAATGAAATAAAAGCAATGGTTGAAAATTAGGAGTTCAGTTCGTCAATTCAGATAAATGGTTAAATCTCGGGACATCAACCGAATGGCCCAGATCAAATGTTCACTCTTGGCACACCATGTGGTGACTTGGAAATAAGAGAGAAAGACCAACCAAATTAATTACTCTTTTGCTGGAGGTGTACCCCAACGAGTTCCAAGGTCCAACCAAATAAAAAATCACACTTGAACATCAGGTTCAGCTCCTTTCCATGACCAAAATCTCTTGGTCCACTACCTTGCACAATGGTGCATAAAGATTATTACATTCTAGAGTGGATGGCTGATTCAAATGAATCCCCAGATCAATTAATTCTATAGCAGACAACTTCACAGAAGCAGTGCTAGAAGATCTTCATATTGAGCTTATGTCCATGTGGGAGTTATGTTTTCTCCACTCCCCCCCCCCAATATTTATTGGGGCTGGAGTATATGTATTGGGTTTAAAGATCTCTTCTCTCTTTTTTCCTTCATCTTCTTCAATATCTCCATGGCTAAAACTGCCACTGTTTTCCAAATAATTTCTCTCAGTCTAATGGTATTTCTTGGAGCTTTGAGTTTGTGCAAGATTTCAGATGTCGATGTCAATTAAGTTGCTCCCTGAGTTAACTATCTCTAAATCCCATATTCCTATATTCACTACCTAAAAAAAATTCATTCTCAATTACTCCCAATGAGGTTCTTTCTTTGAGAGGTGTAGTGGGGCAAGATAAACCCTTACAATATGCAAAAATAATAATAATGATGGGATCTTCTATAAGTGGTGATCATATGCAACCATGAAAATCCCAATGTTTTAAAAGTGCAAGGTGCAAAACAAGCACAAGGGGAAATTTACGCCTGAGGCACACCTTTTAAAGCAAGGCACAAAATACAAAAAAGTGTCAAAATTTTAAAAATAATAATAATAATTAAAAAATATATTAAACATAATATTAATAAAAAACTTAAATTTTAAAATAAATGTTTTAAGAAACCTATTATCTAGAATTAAAATACATAAACATAACATGTAAAGCATATTCAAATTAAAATCAAACGTATAAAACATTTTCAAGCATGTAAAACCAACAATCTCTTTTATTCTTCAATTGCATTACTTCAAATAGTTAATGTGATGTATAGAAAGTGCCAATTCCACCAAGTAGCAGGCGTGGCCCTTCCTGTTGGCCTTGGAAGAGCTATTACACTAAGACCCTCATCTCTAGTAGCTGAGGGCGTTTTGGCTAATGCTATTAGAATAATAGGTCATTGGTGGTTAAAATATGTTCTTAATTGGATGGCACACTTTCTGCGTTCATGTTAAAAATTACCAAAGGTAGCAACATTCTGGCGAGCAAATGAACTTAGCAAGCAGATAAAATAAAATAATAACTTTTTCTGGAAGTTAAGTTGGACCAAACTAGCGAAATAAAGGTTCAGAACAACTCCATCCAATTTCGTTGCTAAGTCAAACTTTAGTTCATCGAAAATAAAGAGATAAAAGCATAAAAGACTGATTAAATAGAATGAATACCAAGAACAAATATGAAAGTAATAGAACAAACACACTATTTAAAAAAATAAAAGGTCATAGAACAAAAACAGACTGAACGCTATCCATGAAAATACACAAAGCCTACCTATGAAGGTACGAGGAACAACTCCAGGAAACTCCAAATGGTCATACTGCCAAATTCAACAATCATCACCAACCCCACTCGATCAAGTCTAACCCTAAATTCATTGGAAACAAATCGGATTTTAGAACGAATCAGAGACTGAGGCGACCAAATAACTTACCTTATCCAGGTGATGTCGATGATAAAGCATATCGTGCATTGCCTTCATGAATAGCAAGAAGAAGAATTAGTTGGGGAAAAACTATTTCCAAAAACGATTAGGGAACTACAAAACCAACACAATGTAACAAGTCAAACTAATAAGTATAAAATTCCTAATCAATCCAATAACAAGGGTTGAATTTTCGATTATGGATGTTTTAGTGTCAACTATAGCAATGGCAACTCAGCTGTCGTCTTTTTGAGTCTGAACTTAACAATTGCAACTCTCTGATGGTTCATGGACAGAGAAACATAAAAATCGTTTTAATGGTTTTTGGTGTAGTACCTGAACGTTGAAACTTTCTTCAACCTTTGTGTAAGGAACCATGAAAACGTAAAACGCAGCGATCGATCCCAACAGCAAATCCCAACCTACCAGAAGCCATTGAAACGAATGTGAGTTCAAGATGCGTTTTGAGCGAACTCAGACACTGAAACTTAGAAAGTCACCATAGCGCTGGAAAATTTTCGAAGATTTGATATCCATGGCTTCTGGTTCTTGGTTTTCCCGCTGTTATTGTGGAGAAGAGAGTAAACGATACAGAGAGAGTTTAGAGGGTCTACTGACTGACTCTTCTCTACTGGAGTCGACGGGCTATTACTATTAACAGGACTACAAACGGATCGGATGGACTCGTATTGTTCCAGATTTGATCCGTTAATTTTGAGTTTCGGATCGGACCTGAAACGAACTCAGATGGAAGTCCGGATCTCCGCCCGACAAAACGAGTTAGGAGGATGTTCCCAATGGACACTATTGGAAGCGCCTGTTGGCACTAGATAGTAGTAGATACCCGCCCCAATGAAACATCATTTCAAGTTTTAACATGTGCCCGCACACCTTATGCATGGTAGGTCTCTCTGTCTTCGGTTCAGATGTACTCATGTACATGTACTACCAATTAAATGCTCCCAACAGGCCATTGAAGAGGCATATATATGGAACATATCTCCTCATGAATAATGACATGGGATATGTTCCAAATGTGCAGCGGCATTAGCTTGTATGGAAGCATTTTGTTGGTAGTAGATGCCTACTCCCGGTTTTATGGTGTGGTGAGATGTGCAAGCAAAGATTATGTTGAACATGTGTTTGGGATAATTTTGTGTTGGGTATTAAAGGAAATTTTTAGGGAGAATGATTTTTAAGCCCACTTCAAAATTTTTAACCCCACCATACAGGTGGGATGAATTCTAACCATGAATTGATGCCAAATCTATGGACAGGATATAGTTTATAGGGGAGGGCTATTAATAGACTATAGGAGTTGTAATTTCAAAGTTCTGCAGTGGGCTAGTGGGCTGCAATGTACTTCTTCGAAAATTTTATGCTATTGAAAAGGAAAAGACATGATACCAAAAGGCTTTAACTAATCAAAACCCCTATCTATTTGATAAAGGGCAAATTTCTTATTGTTTTACATATTGTCTTAAAGTACGCCCCCTAGGTTTTCTAACAATCAATATTCTCACTAAGCATTAATAGAAAAAAAAAGTGAAATGTCAAATTTATCCTTTATTATTCTTCAAAATTTTAAAATAAAACCCAAATGATGAAAAGGCTATGTCACAATCATTTGATATCAGACATTAGGGAATTTTAGGGATTCCCGTAAAACTAAGTAAAGGAATAGTTGTTTGTTCCTTTAGGCTGAATTTGGAAAGGAGTACAAAACTAAGTAAAGGAATAGTAGAATGCAAAACCATATATTTTATATTATTTTGTATGTATTTACGCTGCTATACATATTTGCATTTATACTGCTTCCAAACTGAGCCTTAGAGTTTTCTGTAACATTTTTGTATCATCCTTCGTTTTCCACTACAGGTTGAGGGATTTGTCAATTGAAGTTGGTCTTAGTGACAGGGGTAGTAACTCGTATGAGCGAGGTTTGGCCTAAGCTTTTGCCATGGTTTTTAAAAACGATCCGGAGACCAAAGCGATCAGGGGTCCGGTTATCGGGTCGAAACAACTGTTTGAATTGAATGGTAAGCCTGTTCTGACAAAAAAAAATTAAAAATTTAAAAAATAAAAAACAATCAAAACATTCGAACGGTTCAAACGATTAACCACCTGGGTCAGCGGTTTGCTGACCAAAATCAACAGTTTTGGACAAATTTCCAATTTTGGGGAAAACCAAAACCGGTGGTCACCTGACCGATTCCCGGTTTTTCTGATCCGACCGTCCGGTTTTGAAAACCATGGCTTTTGCAAGGGACATTCAAATGCCTGGGTTGCGAATACAGGAAGCAGAGATGGCCATGCTGCTTTGCGTTTGCGGCAGGTTCTTCTTGTTTCGTGCAGCCTTAATGCTTTGTGCCTATTCCCACGTTAAGCCAAGCCTTAACGCATCGCTCAACGATTTCGGTTTCTAGGGAACAGTCCAACCGTGGAAATCTTCTCTCAGCCTATCAATGAATATCCCTCGAAATAACGCTGCTTTCAGGAATTGAGTTCAAGGGGGAAGTAGATTCATCAATAACGCTACTTTCAGTAACCAACTCAAGCTCAAATTGATTGAAGGTAGAAGTTTGTGTTCATCAGTAGTTCATTGGTCAAGTTTTATTCGTTTATCAACATGGAATCACGAACGCAGAAGCCTATGCGGTCTTGCCATAATAAACAATTGGGCTTCTGGTACTATAGGATATTATCAATTTATGATTCTGAAAAGAGTGGCATGTGGACAGAGTCGATGTGGGACGAAACTTTAGAGGAGCAGAAAGTAGTTCGATCTCAGTTTGCGTCTTAGGCTCGATCTCAGTTCGAGCTCAACAACAAGTCAAGTTTATTTTTAAAAAATAAAAAATATGCAAATAAAAATATATTTTTTTATTTTATATATAACAAAATAAGAATTATAAAAATTATTTATTAATATATATAAAAATAAAAAATATACATATAAAAATTGTTTTTATTTTAAATACAAAAAAATAAGAAATACAAAAATTATTTACTATTATACATAAAAATAAAAATATTATTATAAATAATAAAAATCAGTTATTTTATATATATTTATATTTATATGTATGTATGTATGTATGTATGTATGTATCACTATTTTCAAAACCGGACCGGACCGGTTCTGTTTTCCTCCAAAACCACTTTTTCCCCTAAAACCATTGATTTTGGTCAGCAAACCGTTGAACCGGCCAATTAACCGTTCGAATGGTTTTGACCGTTTTCCAATTTTTAATTTTTTTTTTTATTTTTTTTTGTCAGAACGGGCCGACCGGTCACCAGTTTGTTTTTAAAAACCATGGTATATATGTATATAATAAAAAAATTATTTATTTATTATACTAGAATTGCAAGTCTCACAAGCTAAGCTTCACTAGGCTCAAGCTCGCTTGATTAGAAAACGAGCCTATGTATCAGGCTCGAGCGTAGCTCGAAACTCAGTTTAAACTGAGCCAAGCCAAGTTCAAATAGTTCGTGAGAAGTTCGACTTGTGGCTACCCCTAATTGCACTCACACACAAGCTCAAATGATCAATCCCACGCGCATTTTTCTAGTTGAAGTGACAATCACATTTTATATAACAATACATATTTCTCACCAATTTGTATCAATCGGCCCCAAACATTTCCGATATAAACAGCAATGATACCAAACACAATTGTGAAGAGTGCGACTGTGACCTATAATTTAAGCTATATATAAACAAAGTCTAGAAAGTAATTGTTTACACATCCAACATGTCTATTACTGGTTCATGATAACTCAATATATGGATACAGGAAAGCATAGTTTTTGGGTTTGGATTAATATTGTTCTGTTGGTGCAGTAGTCAATTTCACAAATTAAACAATAAATGGAAATCCTCACAGATTTTCAACTAATGCACACATTATAAACAAATGATAAATATTTTGTTCCGTTATCAAGTTGTCAAAATGAGCTGAAACATTCATGCTCAGATGAATTTGAATCATCACATGGAGAATGAGTGTGTCTACCTTCATAAGTTGTTATAACCATTCGACAGTCCTCTGATAATCGCTCAACCCTCTTCTTTACTCGGCAGTTATTATGTGTGCAACGATAATAACTTCTGGTGCAAATTYCAAAAATTATGAGAAGTTATCCATAATCAGTTCTACTAAGTTGATATCATATTAAGTAAATAATAATAAATTTCAATCTAAATGCGGATATATATTAAAAAGAAACTTACATTTTATTATTCATTATCAATACTTCACATTAAAAGGAATTAATGCAATTACTTAATTTTACAAAAAAAACTCAATAAACTTTATCGGTGCATAATTACTTCATGACAATGATAAGTTTTCTAAAAATATAAATGGGTCCCAACTACAACATTAGAATATGAAAAATCAACACAATCAAATGATACCTGATCATCTAATTTTGTAATTGAAGCAAACTTTTCCTCATCATCCAGTTAAAATAAATAAAATAAGATAAGTATAATCTTCTCTAGATGTTATTCGGTGCATATTGATTTTTAAATCCTTGGACATGTGAAAAGTTATTGGGTCCCTTGACTCATATATGAGTCCTCTTTGTTCCCATATTGCCGTTCAAATATTATTGAAGGGAATTATTACAAATATGGCAAAGAAAGAGATCACTATTTAATTATTAATCCATATAAACCTTTAGAGATACTAGTAAATGTGTACATGCATTTGCACGTGGCAGTATCTCTAAGACAAAACTATTTATAATTTATGGTCGTTTTATATAATTCATTTATCTAAAAATTAATTAAGGTATTAAGTGGGCAGTTTTTGAACAATAAAAATTCATGGTTCCAACACCCTAGCAGTTTTTGAATGGTTATAAGTGGGCAGTTTCTGAAGTGAATAAATGACATATGCCCTCTTTATACTTGTTGTATGCTTAGACAATAGGGTAAAAAACATCCAATGAAAATTCTAGAAAAAAGGGGCATTCACTCTTTTATAAGTAGTATAGATAAACTACCAAATTTATCTTTTATTTACCAAAGTTTACATGAATATTAATTTCCTTATCAATTCATTGGACAAGTCCACATAAAAAGTATGGAATATCTTCTCTAAAATAAATAAGGAAGAGATTAGTTAATGTAAAAAAATGATTATGTTCAAATTATATTGTAACAACTGAAATATATTCTGATATAGCCTTTTTGTCTTAAATTAATGTTCTTTTAATAGCTGAAAATCTAGTCTTAAGTCTCTTCCTATTATGGTGTCACAATATACTTCAAATGAATTAAATATAACATGAACAAAATTTTCAATATTTGAATAGAAAGGTGTATATTTTCATGGGCCTGTTTATTAATTTAGGCATCTTAATTACCTGCAATTTGAGGCAATAAGTAGGTGGATTCATACTGGAAAACGTACCGCTCAAAAGACATCCTATAGAAATTCCACCCTGCAACTTTTCCTTTTAAAATTCATGATAAAGGTAAACTCTATTATGCCATATTTGCCTCAATTTTATTTTATTTTTTTACACCAAACAAAGTATTTGCCTTTGTAATGCTTTATCAAGAAAAAGGGTTGTATAACAATGTATTCTGTCTTGCTTGTGAGATTTAAAATGTTCTAGGTANGGTTGGGTAGGGTAGAGGGACAACCCAAGTCAAACCCTAAGACTGAAACTTTGGGTTCAAGTTTCGCCTAAACTGAGGTCAAGTCTGAATTTACCAACCTAGGCCCAACTTGAGCTCAACCCAACACAGCTAGGGTCGAACTTGAGCTTAGGTTCAAAGGACTCAGCACATTGGTTGGCTTTGAAAGGATTTTTTTAATAAAATTTGAACACCTATATATATATATAACCTTTTATGGTAAGTAGGATGGGCAAAATTGAGGGGTGTATCCAATGTCTTGGGTGATAGTCAAATACCATTTTAGATTGAAACGGAAGTTCTATAAACAATTGTAACCCTAGCTATGTTGTATGGATTAGCATGTTGAATAGTCAAGAAACAACCTCTCCAAACAATTAGCAAGGTAGAAATGTATATGCTGAAATGGATGAATGAAAAAAATTAGAAAGGATAGGATAGAAATGAAATCATTCCAAAGAACCTAGAAGTAGCTCTAGGTGATAAAAACGAAAGAAAGTAGATTAAAACAGTTTGGTAACGTGCATTAAAGACCATCAATAAAACCTATAAGAAGTGTTGTCACAAGTTGAAGAAGCTGAAAAGGTTAGGGGTAGACAAAAAGGACATGAGTTGAAATAATAACAAACTGTTTAAGAACTTATAATTTAATAATGGGTGCCCCAAAACAAAACAAAATAGCAAAACAAGATTCATGTCACTGACCGCATTTGATAAATCTTTCCGTGGGGTCTTCTAGGCTTCTCAAAGCCTGGAAGACAAGAAGCCCAAAAAGATTGGCCGCCCAAGAAGCTTGTGCAAGCCCGAAAATCCCCAAAATCGAGAAGCTTCAGTTCAAGCTTATGCGAATTCCGGGCCTCTCTAAGCCACATCATACGTGTGTCAAGAAGCACACTATTGAGAAAACAACAAGGGTTATTCTTCTTCTTCTGCCTTTCTTTTTTTCTTCTTGTATTCCATAACCCATCCCTTTTTCATCTACAGGAACATACAAACATTACCGTCTTGTTATCATGTACAAACCATCTCCATGTTTCATCTTTGACATTCACAAAAAAATGTTTTCAATTTTGTCTGTTGATTGTTTCTGTTGGATGTGTTAATCGAACATTATTTGCTGCTCCTCATTACCGTTGTTTCTATATACACTTAAATTGTTGTTTGTTCTCTTGTGATTTTATACAAAAGCTATGTACATGGTTTTGTTTGGGTTTTGAAAGGGAATGGATATGCCTGTTGTCATGGAAATGAAAATGCTAAAAGAGGCTACTGGATTGGCCTCTTGTAATCGGGTGAGAAGGTGGTGTTCCAACTTTTGCAAGACAGGGACCAAAAAGAGTTGGGGACCTTTGTGGTAGAGAAGGAAAAAATATAAAAAACAAAGGGAGAAAAATAATATATAATATAATAATATTAAAACTCTCGAGAGTTTTAAGTTTTTGTCTTTTTAGTCTTTTACTTTTTTACTCTTTTTGAGTTTTTGTAATTTGTGTAATGTTTAATTAATTGTTAATTGAAATTGTTATTTGTTAATCAAATAATATATAATATAATAATATTATATAAATTATATATATATATATATATATATATATATATATATATATATAAATCGGGGCCAGGCCGGGGCGGGGGTTGCATTCCCCATCCCCATCCCCGATTGGGGATTCAGTGTTACCCCCCATCTCCAACCATGACCCTGCCAAAGCACTCCTCATACCCGACCCCACCGGGTCGGAGAGCCCAAGTACCCCTCGGGATGGGGAAAATTGCTATCCCTATTAAAACATGTTTATTCATCACGTTTATGGACTTGCCAAATGATCTTCATCTTCCTGTATTCTTAGCTTTCTAGAAAATCTATTACAATTATTGCAACCAAATGATTTTCGGACTTCCAAAATCTACCTTGAAAGCTCGTGTGGTCTTTGGGTCTTTAGCTACTAGAAGATCTTTGTAGAAAGACTTGCCAAACGCTCCCATAATTAGAAACATATCTTTATATAAATAAAATGTGTAACATGTGTGCTTTCGTAAATGTTTGTGCATGGGTGAGTTAAGGATAATCGTACAAATATTGTAAATATATAAATGAATATAGTTTAAGGTGTATATGATAATATAAATATGTATATATATATATAATATACACACAATACATGCCATAAATACACAATATCCACATTTACATAGGTGTGTAATTATGCAATGTTGAGCATGTTCGATTAGGTCAAATTGGACTTGGACTACCTAAGCCCCGATCCAAGCACAACCAAAATTTAGGTCAGGTTTGATTTTTTTGGCCCAGGCCCATTAAATTCAAGCCCAGCCCAAGCGAAATCTCAGGTTGGGCCCATCCAAGTTACAGTCCTAGTTCTAGGTTGATGTGTTTATTTATTTTTCAGGTTTCTAATTAATCAACTAAACATTGTAGAAATGTGAAGTAAATATTATTTGATTATGTTCCATAAACATTGAAAGTTATTTGCACTATACCAATTAAAACCAAGACAATTGTGTGTAGGGCTGCAACTTAGGCAGGATTGGTAGGCCTAGAGGATAGAGCCAACCCGCCAGGTCCAAATCTAGATGTGAAGCCTACGCCCGGCTTTAGGTCAAGCCTGACCTTATAAGCATCTTTGGGCCCGTGCTGGGCCAAGGCTTTGATTGGGTACATAATAATTTTGTGCTATAAAAAAAAATATTTTGTTTGACTTTAATTGTTAAAAGGTTGTTTCCTATAGATGAGATTTCAGGTTTAAGGCTTTTTAGATGAATATTTTGACATTATGGCCTTGTTTGTTATTAAGTAAGTTATTTATCTGAGTAAATGCACTTACCCGGGTAATTGTTAAAAGGTTATTTCCTATACATCAGCCATAATAATTCATTATTGAAAGGGACATTTTTGTCYCATTCAAGTGTTAGTGATTTTCCTCCTAGGTGGGAAGGCTATTTATCCACCTAGGAGATGGGTAAATAAACTTTCCTTGGTCTCCACATAAATCTGAAAAAAGAATATGGGTTTCTTAATCAATAGAAATCAAAATCCTATTGGCCAACTTTCCCTCCTCTCAAAATCCAAAAAAAGAATGCCCCCAATATTTATAATTTTACACTATATTTTTGGCAAATAACTTTAATGAAAACAAGCGAGAAAACTAACTTGGGCCAATACCAAATCTAGCTTGGGTGAGCTCGGGCTATCAGATGCCTTTACCTAACCCAGAGCCCAAAAATTCGAACCCTATTCCACGAGAAGTTCAACTTTGATGGGGCCAAGTTTGGGTCAGGCCAGCCCGCCCAAGCTTCAGCCCTGGTTGTCTTTTGTTAGTGCTATATGATTCATTATATTTCTCCTTCCTTCATCAAACAGTCTTATATAGTGCTATATGATTCATATCCCTTAAAGGAGGAGCTTACGTAATTTTAATGAAAGGTCCTCTCTACCAATATAAAGGGCTGTCTTGTTAATACACACTGGTCTATGCTTCCATTTGTTAGTGTCCCTAAAAAGCTTTAGACTTTTCCTTGCATTTTCATGATTCCAAATCATGAGTTCAAATCAGTCCCCACAATGTTTTACAGTATATCTCCCGATGATAATACCAAAAATGATGATATCATCATCCGGAGATCATTTTCGATACACGACAGAGATGTGGTGTGGGACGTTGTGGGAGACAATCTTGTGGGGGCTGATTCGCCGGTCTCCCAAATCATGGGCCTATCAAGGAAAATCAATGGAAGACTATCATTTCTATAAATCCTGAAATGACCTCATACACTTACCCTTCTGCTGGTATGAATGAAAATAGATACAGAAAGGGTCCTACACAGCGAGTGTAACTTAAGCAGCTAGAACTAGGAAGTAGAAGTAGAACCCTCACAAAACTTAGGGTTACCCTAGAATTTAAGTGCAGAGCAGCTGATATGGATCAACCACAGAGGTCATAAAATTGCTTGTTAGATAAGTAGAACGAGACTATCATTAGGTGTAGTGCTAATAGTTGGTGATGCATATATTCATTAATTATAAGGGCACGAAATCTATAATTTTCAGTTAAACCTTCATTATCAGAAACATGGTTACTTTCTCTAATGACATAAAAGAGGCCTAACAACAACAACAACTACCAAAGCAATACTTATTATAATATAATGACAGGAAATACAAATATAATTATAGACACCAAGAAATTAACCTCCGACCAACCAAAACCAGTCAAGCAATCTAAGGTCTAGAATAAATGAGCCCAACGGACTTAATTAGAAGATTAGATTAAGGTTGTGTTTAGTATTGTTATTGCCATTTCAGTCCCAAAATTTTAGAGAGGCAATTAATGGCGTTTCGCTTATGAGCATTAAACAAGTGTTTTGAGCAGTATTATTTGGCATTGAGCAAGCGTTCCACCACCTCTTGATTTTTATATAAAATTCCTAAATTTAAAACCTTAACCCCTAAATCTTAAACCCCAGACCTTAAATTTACAAACTCTAATCCTAAACCCCTAAATTTTTAAATCCTAATATTAAACCTTAAATTTCAACTGAAAAATGCATATCGTCAAAACACAATTCCTCAAACCAGGTAGGAGCCAATAATTCCTCTTTGTCATTGGCATTGCTACCTAAAATGTTTAAATGAAATTGAGAAGGAAAATGTTTAAATGAATTGTCTATATTCAATGTGACACCACCCTAATATATTGATTCTCATCCAATGGTCAAATTTAAAAATAAATGTTTTTTTATGATTAATTCATTGTTACACATATATAGATTAATATTCGGATAGGTGCAGATCTAATGGTCCTAGAAGCATAGAACCAAAAAAAAAAGAACATTTTCTTTTGAGGTAGGGTTTATGGGAATTCAATCATATATATCTGTATTTTCTGGTATGAGATGCACCAAAATCTCTATACATCATTAGACTGTTTCTTCAAACGGGTACCTGATGTTCCCCTACACCCCCTAGTTTATGTTTCTAGTAGAAACGTTTTATGAATGTTTTAGCTCAAACCCTTAGATGATACTAAGTATATGTTTGGTTTGAAGGAAAAAGTAGGGAAATGAAGGAAAATATAGAAAAACCTATATAAGATTTGTAAAGGTTTCCTTACATTTTCCTTCTTTTCCCTACTTTTCCTTCAAACCAAACACAGCCTAAACGTGGCAGAGATCCAACCAGAAACAACCACAGTACCAAACATCACCTAGCTAGGGCACAGCTTCCTTATAGAAATAATCTGAAGGGCTAGCTCGTTGGATATATCTGCGGTTGTGATTCTATCGAAGTATGGTGCCATGGTCCTTATGAACTGAGTAGATTTCAATGGAGTATACTATATATGTATGTCATTATTATCAACTATCATGTCTACAATGTACTCAGCAACTTTTGAACTAAAGCAAACTGATTAGTCACAACATAATCGTCAGATGAAACAAGTCATAATAATGTACAATTCATGGTGCAACTAATTGAGAAATTAATGGGTGCAATAATTAAAAATGTAAATCATCACTGAAACCATGCAAGATCTGTTTCATGATCTTCATCAACTGACTGATTCTCATAAAAGAATGAAAAAGAAGATAAAGAAATAATGCAGACAAGCATATCTGTTCAGCTATATATCACTTTTTTAGTTTCACATGTCTGGTCAATATTTAGAAAGCAATAGAAAATATTACCTTGGATGGAGGCTGTTCTTGACAACTTTCTGTCCGTACTTCCTCCATTTGTAGCCATCATCTAGCACATCCACATCACTCCTTGTCTGGAAACAAAATCTCGGCTCTCTGAGCTTCCTCCTCACCTTTACCTTGCTCTTGTCTGAGGATGAGTTCCTCCACCTGTTACATTCCAACTTTTAACTTCGATATATTCTCAGACTTTTATATAATATGTGTCTGGTTCCCTTTAGAGATGGTAAACTGGTAAGAGAGAGAGAGAGAGAGAGACCATGAAGGAAAAACCAGTAAAAGGAAGAAACCCCATGAAGGAAACCCTTGAGAATATATCCAACAGAGAAGAGGGGTACCATGAACTGTTGTCATCGTTAGCGATACCACTAGAGTTCTCATCATTAACAGTAGTCTTGGGTTCCAGCCTCCCCACCTGAGATACGATTCAGAATAAAGAAAACAAAAAGCAAAACTCAGTACAAGTTCCAAACCCCCAACAAAGAGGAAAAGATAATATAAAATTAATAGGCGGCAAAACTATTAAAAACCAAGGAATGAAATAGCTAAAGTAGTTATCGATTCATATAGATTTGTTTCATTTCAACAACTCCGTTGATCCTGAATCCACTCAACCACCTGGTCGTTGTTCCAAGGAGTTGGCCTTGTAGCAACATCGTCGCCACTAAGCCCAACAGTAGTTTTGCTGTTGCTGCTGCTACTGTTGTTGATGGGCAGAGATAACTGGTGATGATGATGATGATGAGAAGGCTGACAAGGGAGCAAGAAGCTCAGTCCTTGGCTTTCTTCGAACTGCACAAAACCCATCTCGTGGACTGGTTGTGCACTTGAGAAGGGCGCCTCTAGCTCGTAGCAACTGCGCGAAGCACCTCGATCTCCATCCATGGGAGGTGAGCTAGCACAACTGACGGTGAGAACTGATCAGTTAGTTTGTCTCTGAATATTCTCCCGGCCGGAGATCTACCTCCTTTGATATATTGCTCTTATTATTATTCTCTCTCCCGGTGCATGTGTCCATAAAACTTATGAGTCTGGTCGACCTGTGTGGGTTGGCTCTGGTCCACTGGTAAGCGCCGATGGAATGTCTCCTCCAGATTATTCCTTCTCATCATATTTCCAAGGTTGCCCAGAGAAGACATGTATGGTGAGTGTTGCTATCTGATCTACTAGTGTTTTCGCTATCACTCCTTATTTATTTCTTTTCTTTTTGTCAAGAATTATTTAATTAATTATTAGAGATTAATTCTTAATAATTTTCTTTGGGTTGTTTTTATTTAATTATAATTAATCGATAAATAATAACGGATGGCAGTCAGACAGTGGTTGCTCGCCAGGTGTTTGACAGAATGTGATTGAAGAGGATGGTGGGCTAGAATACGAGGAACAATTAATAATATATATATATATATATATATATATATATATATATATATATATATATTATATAACCAGTAAAGAATTGCTTGCATGAGACATGATGGGTGAGGGTTGTACGAAGAAAATGGGACATTTGAATGATTTTGGACATATTTTAATGATCATAACATCCAAACCACTGAATGGATTCTGGACATACATACAGATACAGTGAAATGAAAGATTAATGAGAGTATGTGGCCGGGATCACGCCACCAGAAATCCTTTTTGAAATTCCAAATCAGTGACCTCCATTGTGGAACCCTACTTTGGGCCGGCCAATCAATTCGTAGCTGCATTTCTAATTAAAGTAAAGCACAATTGAAATTTCATTTCAACTCTCAATTTGATTATCAATTAGTTACTTTATTTTTCTTTAATTTCTTTTCTTTTTATTTTCTTTTTATATTCTTAATTGGATGTGTGCGTGAAAATGTATTATTATTATTATTATTATTATTATTATTATATAATGTATTCTAGCTTTAATTTTACCTTGCTGATAAAGATGGTGATTTGGGAAAGAACAAATCAAATTAGGACTTCAAATATAAATATGTAGAGTGTAAAGCCTCTTTTGATGTAGCAAGTTTTAAATGCACCATATATAAAAAGAAAAAAAAAAACTAAAATCTTCCTCTTAATTAAGCATGCTTGTAGTTGTGTGGAAAATTAGACTTGGGAATAAATTAGAAATCTCACAGCCTTCATGTGATAAATTAATAAGTTTCTTTCTTGATTTTTATTAAACCAAACATAGCTTTAGCTTTGAGATGATAAAAAAAGTTTAGATCTAAAGAACAGTACAATTAGGGCTGACGTGAGCTTAAGCATCGTACATACACAACATTGCTAGTAGTCCAGAGGCCACATCATCAGTCCTCATCCACCATAACTTTTTCTCTAATTTTGAAGCTAATAAACAACAAACAACAACAAGGGTGTAGGCCTTCCAGTGGGGTCGTTTAGCAAGCTTATTAAGACCGTTCAGGAACGTTATAGCATGTAATATGTAATGTATCGATCTCGTTGGGAGCACAAGAAGACTCCACATATTTAGCTTGCTTTGCCTCCATCCATGAAGCCAAAAAACTTTCAGCTCTAAAGAACTTGCCACATGTCTATATTCCTCGATCTGTTATCTGTTTATATGTCAAGCTTTGCCCCCAAATTACTTGCCACGTGTCCATGCCCATAGATATTTCTTTAATTATGAGCAACTTTAATATAAACTATGAATCACCAGAATTTGTTGAAGAAACCACCAAAGCATGATGAGGTATAGGGCTTATCTTAATTAATCTGCTCGGAAGAAATGACTGGTTTGGACTTTGGATCATTTGCCACGTCATTCTCCACACAGAAAAAATCAGATAGGCCGTGCAGGAAAGTTTCCCACTTCACCCGAAATCTCTTCAGTACTACTATTACTACTACTAATAATAATAATAATAATTTGTTAAATTAAAAAAATAGCTAGGGAAAAAATTGAAAGGGCACTTCAAATTTGAAAGTTGAAAAGTCATGACAGAAATAAGTGGAGAGGGGTCCACCTAATTCTTCCCCCACGTCTATTGCTCTTCCACAGGGATTAATAATGAGCCTATCTCAAATCCTTCCAAATCGAATGTCCATCGATGCTTTTCTCCACTCGACCACCCTGCAAAAGAAAACTATCATCATAACCTCCATATGTTTTTTTTTTTTATAATCATCTCCTTCCCCGGGGCTTTCCACTAACTTTCACCTGTTATTTCATCCACAGTGACCTAATATCTCCATTAAAGGATCCTTCCGACACATCCTCACAACACTAACCCTTCCCTCTCTCATCTCTAACTCAAACTTTTCATTTTCCTAATTAACCTCTCAGAAAGAAGGGAGGAAACTTAAGAAACTGTGTCCAAGTGGTCCTAGCCATGATCACTTCTCCACCCTATCAGAAGTTCAGAACTAAACTAAAACTGATCATGAGTACATCTTCAACGTTAATAAATACAGAAGTTTATAACTCCAGCATCTATACAAGTAATTACATCGATCCTCAACTGACAAATCTCAAGCGGGTAGTGCATGCAATCTCCTCTGAGAAAAAAAAATTAAAAGATTAGCTTTTTTGCAGGGAGCTAGCTGAATGGTGCATCGAGAATCACAGGTTGCACTTACAGACAAGGACACGATGATCTTATATTTGCTGCAGCTTTGATATTCTGGTAGGGCCCGGGCACCATCCTCACCATGATAGTCTCTGTCGGTTCAAGACTGTTAGCTAGGTTATTGCCTGCTCTCGTTTTCTTCATATATTCTTATATATTTTCTTATTTGTTTTTGTCAATTTAAGCTGCGTAATTTAGACATAGAGCTGAGCAATATTCTCAGAGCTGACCAAAGATTCGTTGCCGGAAAGAATTGAAGTCATCTCAACCATGATCAGCTCAAACTTCCTGGTTCATAGTCATAATAACGAATTCAAAAGCTAGGCAGCAGCAAAGCAAGATGTTGTCACAGGGTCTCCCATGATAAGTGTAGGTCCGACTCGGTTGCGGCCGGCAGACAGCAGACTATTTTAATTTCTAGCGCCTAGCTAGCTATATATCCCGTGTCGTCGAATCGATCGGCTAGCTGCAGGCTGCAGCACCCTGGCCGGCCAAGCGGCCTGACGAGGAGGATCCACCGACCAAACAGCAACAGAAATGGCGATCGATAATATCATAATACATAACACTACCGACTCCCTCCTTTAATGGGTATCGACGCTCCACCGCACCGGCCGCCTCATTTTCAAGCTGCTGTGATTGAATCCAAATCAAAATGACGCCTTCTGAAGCTATTCAATCGATCCATTATATTCAAACTCTCGTTTTCTCAGCGTTCCTTTTTTATTGTCTTCTCTAAATCTAACCAAGAAGATTAAAAGCATGGTATTTCAATTCATGTCATTTCTGAACGCTGATCGAGGCATCTGAGGATCAACACTTAATTAATGAGGTAGAAATAGAGTTTTGCAGTTTGCTTTCTTTTGATTTCTTAGGTATAAACTATTAATTTCTAGAGATTTGGGGAAGCTACAAGCTACTAATTAGTGCTATATAAATATATATTGTCATCCCCTCAATATGAAGAAAGAAATAGGGCAAGCATTTCCTTGAAGAAATATGAACAGTGGGTGTTGTATATGGGTGAGGACGTGACAGGCATCATGTCGGTGCATCAGATCAAAGAATATATATGTGAATAAAGTGGAATCAAAATGGTTGCCAATTAAATGCCAAATACATAGATGCCCTTTACCTAACAATGATGGCTACTTAGAGGAACTTACATCCTCTGTCGTTCTGACGTCAAATCGGAGTTTATAGGGAGGTGCCAAATTGCCAACGCCACTCATTCTCCTTTCCTATCTATCAATTGCTTATACTAGGCATTTGGGTAGCATTACACCATTCTTCAAAATCCACTGTCCAAAATCCGTCATTTGGGTTGCAAGTGCATGAGATTGTTGCGAGGTTTTAATGCTTAATAAAAAATCAAATTAGAATGCTACGCTATAGGTAAAATCCCTCTTAAAAACTTTTAATCTATGCAATGAATATGATATTAGTTGTTGTGTAATCTGTATTTTTTTAGGTACAATTAACCATTTAGACAATTGTTGTAAGGGTAAATTTCTGACAATTGATTAATTCTTTTCTTATCCTTAGTGCCCGTTAAAAAACTATTTTACCTTTTATTCTTCTTTAAATTTTCAAAATAAAATAAGAAAAAAAGGAAAGAAACACTTCATCAAAATCTTAACCTTTCAAACCCAAGCATGGTTATTGTCCTCCTCTTTTAAGAAATTTACCCTATATATTACCTATGGAGACTTGAATCACCCGAAGTTTTGTCTGTAAAGATTGAAGAGGGATGCGCCTGTGTCCAGTTGTTCTTCCATCCCCCTCTGTACCCATTGGGCAAGAGCACTGGTAACTCTCTACTGTATTTGTGCAAATCGCTGTTGCTGCGCAGTTATTCATGGTTCAATCCACACATTCATTTATGTCTATAAGCGGTTTATAACATAAATTAAACCCGGGCCGAATTAAACATTGGCAATCAAATTTGTAGAACTAATCTTGGCAAAGAGGAAGTTGACGAAGAGTTAAATTAATTATATTACGTACATTACCATCAATGTTCAAGATAAGGGTTGCCTTGAAAACCTTCGAAGCATTTGCATAGATATCCCACACCTTTGGACAACTTGTAGCAGTCACTATTGTTGCTGCAAGCATAAGTAGTGGTGTTTCTTATTGCAACAACTTCACACGATTAATTTTTTATTGACCAGTCGAGTACAGTCGGAACTCTTCCTCTGTTTCTCCTATGGAAATCAAAGACAGAGAGATCGGCTAGGGAGAAGTTGTACCAGTCCTCAGCAATGAAAGAGAAAATGTCTTTTTGATTTTCGTAAAAAATCTCTTCTTGTTGATTCTCTTTAGCAAGATGAAGAGCACGGTGAAACCCCTCCTCCCTATCAGCATGAGCTGATTCTCATGTCCTGTTACTCTATGCATGAACCCAACAAAAAAAAGTAGGAGAGAGAGAGAGAAAGAGGGGGAGGGAGGTGGAGGGTAAAGTTGGGTTTTAAAAAATATATATCATATGCAATGAGTTTTGACCTTAACAGTAAGGGTAGAGTTAGTCAATTGTCAAAAACAATACAAATAGTATTAGTCAATTTTTATACAATAAGGAT